ATTAATCTCTTCAAAATAAATTATCACAAAGAATTTATTTGAGTTTTTCATCGACATTCTAGGAATTATTTAATGTTATTCAATTATTCAATGCTTTTCGAAATTCTTTCAAACAGAAAAATTTAAATTGAAAAATATTTATACAGAATTCACGTAATGTGAGAGGACGTTTGCGACGACAATGTATTTGCCTGCAAATGTCACCGTCTTGCACCTGTCAGCAAGTAAGCAACAATACCTGTGCCTTTTTTAATAAAAAAATCATGATTCATTTATACGATTAAGTTTCAGAGGGTATTTAAAAGTAATTTGAAATAAATTGAGGAAAGATAGAGAGAAAAGAAATGTAATTTCCTTACTCTCTATTTACTTCATTCTGATTGATAATGAAACTTCAGAAAAGTGATATTTATTTCTACAGCCACAACAATATTCATATAATGCAGCATGCAATTGCAACCAAGTTTCATCATTAGCAAAACCATGCCAATCAACTTGCAAAAAATCATGCATGCAATCGTGCATAGAAAATAATCAGCCAGCGATAAGGTAAAGGCTTCATCATTTGCATAAATAAAAAAAAAATTTAATTCAAGAAAAAACATTTATTTTCAAGGTGAGCAAAAAAACTGATAATTAAAAGAATGAAAAAATAAGATTGAAATTAATTGCCTGAAATATCATAAAATCATCATTTTTCACATGTCAACCGGTTTGCGCATTTAATTATCAGCAAGCTTGCAGCAATGACTGCCAACCAATCGGCACATCGGTTAATTCCCCTCAAAATTTTTGCTTTTCTGTATATTTATTTCTGAATTATTTTGAGAGAAATACATAATTTATGCAAAATAAGTGCATCAATATTCTTGATTGCTCAAACTTTATGATTTTCAGATCCCAATTATGCGGGAAACTGTACAGTCAATACTGCCTCATCTTATAATATCCTCTCCAAGCTGCATGCAAATATGCTTTCCAAACTGTATGGTAAAATGTGCACAGCAAAATTGGCCATCTTCATTGTGTCAAAAAGTTTGAAAAGAAATATGTATAAAATCATATGAAATGACTCATGTGACAGCTGCGCCAGCAAAGACTCTAAAAGTGATTACGTTAGCACCACAATATCAACCGGAAATTTCAAGCATTCAAACAAATAATTCACTTAATTGCACCTTGCAATGCTCACAAAATTGCACTACCAATTGCCATAGGAACAATGACGCTTGCAAATTGATCTACCAACAAAATTGCGCTAAGATATGTGGCGATCAAGCACTTCTGCCTATCTCGCAATCGATTATCAATCATCCTGCGATCAAAACTGTTCAAACAGTTGCATCTCATCATGCATTTCCAGGAATTGTTCATTAACATCATGCACGCAAGTATGTCAACCAGCAGAGGCATGCACTTCAACTCATCAACCTGTCGTATTGGTTACTCCATCTTATCAACATGACCTTTTACCTCCATTAATTACCTGCGAAGAGAGGTGTTATACAACATGCCTGGCAACATGCCATTCTCAGAACTGATCGCAAGTGTTATGCTTAAATAGCTGTCAACAGGCATGTGCGAAAGCATGTGTGCAACCAATGATCTCTGTTGTACCGCAGTTACCGGTTACGGTTCCGAAACCCTAACAACTCCTAGGACACCTATATCTGTCGTTTTGCTAACTATACCTATATCAATAACTGATTTATATATATGCTTGGATAAATGCATACCATAAGTTTCTCTGTAACATATTTTACATGAATATTTTCGTATAATAAAATAAATTGGACTTTTTATCAGATTTTTCAGGAGTAATAAATAGTATTGAACATTCATCTGATCATGTTGTCTTAGAAATTGGGACATTAAAATTTTTAAATTTCCAATTGTTCTAACATTCATTTCTAATTTAAATGATAGATATTGTTCACTAATAAACATCAAACGGAGCAGTGCGTTGAATTTAAAAATTTATAAAATATTCACCGAAATAATTTTTAGCACAAAAGTTTCAGTTTTACTGCAACAAATTATTTTATTTAGGGAAATGCAGTATGCAAAATTGTATTGCATCCGGCCAAAGTGAACTTGCTTGCTATTTGCGGTGCAACTTACAATGCAATCAAAGCTTTCAGGTAGCATCGGTTCTGTTTTACATCCGGTACCATGGCAAAAGAATAATTGCTGCTATGAAAGTGAGTAAGAAATATCAAACAAATAATTTTCTATGTTTCAAATTCGAATTATTATAACGAAGTAAAAATTTCAAAATTACCAAATGAGCATATATCATTACTAATTTCAAAAATTAGCAATACATGTACATTCGAAATTCTTTGATAACTAATTTCAAAACTGAATAAATTTGAATATTATTATTCATTGTATTATAATAGTCATAATTTGCAGATTGTCAAAATATATGCTTATTGAGTAATTCATCGATTCGAAAGTGTATGTTACAGTGTCAAAAATTTTATATTTCATCGAATTTTATTCCTTCAAGTCCACAGATACCTACAAGTCACCTGTTCTCAACCATCCTTTCCACACCTACAATTTCATCTATTTTAACAACATCAAAAAAAGCAGCAATATGCGCTGCAGTTTGCATGCCTCTTTGCCTTCCATCGTGCATTTCTGCACAAGTGCAATCGTTACCAATTCCATCGATAGGCTTTTTTCATTTTTTCTTAAAAATGCGCATACTAATATAACCAATATGCATGTAGTTCAATAGCTTTTTTTTTAAATTTTTTATAAAATTCCTTCAAATTATTATTTACTCAAATCATCATTTCAAATTTAGGCAAGCGAGATATCATTATCAAATATCGTTACACTATCAGTATCAAATTGCCTTACGAATTGCATCAATATGTGTGCGCAACTTCAACCTACCATTAATAACTGAAAGTTAGCATGCCAAGTGCAATGTGCCAATAATTGTTGATAATTTCCATTGTTACATTGCTAGTGAATAATATTCTTCGATCATCAATGTTTAACACATCCTTTAAATGATTATCACTGGTTGTTATCACTCGTATTTATCTTCACTACAATTATTTAACCGATATTATGATACTTTTTTCAATGCTATTTCACTATTCACTTCCTCATCCAAAAGATAAAGAGAACTATAAATCTTTCATAAGTAAAATTTATTGTCTAAAACAATAATAGCCTTCTCTATTTAATTTCAATGAAAAATGCTTCCATAGAAAAAAATGAATCATTTCTGAAATTTGAATTTGAATGAGAAAAAACAATTCTATAAGGTGCATTAATTTTTATGTCTCAAAATAGTGTCTTATGTTCGTAAAGAAAAAAAAAACCTGTTAATTTTTTTTTTTATTTAAAAGCTATTCGTCCAGGGAATATTAATGAAGATTCGACATCATTTTTAAAAATGTTTCGGTTATTTTTGTCTTTCAACAAATAAAATGTTTAACTCATCGCTAGCAAAAGAAAAGAAATGAAATGAAGAGGAAAAAATAAAGAAAAAATGTAGCTTTTTATCACGTGTTATTGCCGTTGCACTTACTCTTTCTCTTTGCTGATGAGAGCTTGGAAAGAGAAATGAACTTAACCGGGACCACTTCGCAGTGAATTATGAATGTTCGAAAGGATAGTGACAAGTATAGCTCGAGCTCGACTCTCTCGCTATTTCATCCACTTTTATTGCTACTCCAAGCTAATCTAATTAGAGGTTCGTTTAAGTTTGTTTTTGAATCAAAAGCAGTTTTCATCTGTTTTCAATTAAATTTTTCGTAGCATTTATCAAAAAAAAAAAAATCAATATTGATTGATAACTCACTGAGGATAAAAGGTAAGAAATCATTCTTCTCATTCTCATTCAACGTTCATTTTCTTCACGTATGATGGAAGTCGACCTGAATTGGCGCAAAAAAACCATCCAAATGGAAGAAGAAGCCTTCTGTTTGAAAAATATTTATTCATTGGATCTGTTATAAAAGTATATCTTACTTTATTACTTTCCTCTCTAAGTTATCTATCTCATTGTATGTTTGGAATTAATTAATTACAATTAATTCATATAAAAGCAAATGATTTTCATTTAAATGATGTTTATTATTTATCAATAGTGGAATGATGAAAAGTGAATCTCATAGCTTCAAGCTAGCTATATAAATACATATAATTATTCATTTGTGCATCACATTATTACATTTGCATAATTTTTTCTTCTCCCTCTTTTTTCTCTCTCTTTCTTTCCCCATACATACATACAAATATAAACATCTAATATTTAAATTAGCTGAAATTTAAGAAATTATTAGTGAATCGCAATTGCAGTGCTGAAAAAGTTCTAAAATTAAAGCTGAAGTATCTGTAAACTCTCATCAAAAAGTAACAATGAAGCAAATGCACGATATTTCATTGTACTGTTTCATTAATTTCATTTCTATTCAATTAAAATTTGAACATTTTTTCAAAATTCATTTCTACTAACTTATTTATTATGATCAAGGATTTATTAATTATTATAAATCCTGAAAAGCATGAATATTGAGATGTTTGAGGGAAAGTGGATCTATGATAACAGATGGTTTCCATCTGTTATCTCAAATGCTCGAAAAATATTCCTCTTGCTGATTGATATTAAAAAACAAGAGCTATTTCATAAATCCTTTTCTAACGTTCCGTATGTTTTGCTTAAAAATTTTAATCCCTAATCTTTCATTCTTGCGCAGTTGTCATTTTGTTTGCTTTCCGAGGAGAAAAAAACAATACAAATATCTTGAAGAATTTATTTGAAAATATATTTGAGCGCCTTGAAATTTCGTCAACTTAAAAAAGTACTAAAGTAGATATTTGCAATCAAATACGAATTACTGAGGAGATTTTTCAATATTTTAGTCTCGAAGACAAAATAGCAAAAACTGTTGTATTGGTGAAAATTTTAGTTTTTAATATAAATTTTAAAGCTTTTTTTGTATGCCTTCTTCAATTAATCCAAATTTTTGAATTTTTTTTTTCAAATTTCCGTTATTATTATAGTTTCTATTGATGAAAGTTTGAGATTATGAAATCGTTACACTTCCTTCTTTACGTCAGAATGTAAAATTTCGAAAGCTTTGTTTTGCTAAGCAAATTCTCGAATTACGTCAAACCTTCTTCTCTCATAGTTATTCGAAACATTTTCTTACAGCTACAATTGCTGTAATTATCGTCATCAGAGCGATCAAAAAACGTTGTTACAAAAATATTTGAAAAAACAACAAAGTATATTTTATAAATCGATTAACACAGCATCCTTTTTTCTCTCATCTCAGGTATATTTTCGCTACCTAACAATTGATCAAATTTTATTTTCTTTTTCTTCTTGTAATCATATATCGTTTATGTCGCAGTTTTTCAACTTTTTTCATGATATTGGTTGTTATATATAATTATTGTTTTATAAGATATAATGATTTGAATAATCTGGAATATAGAATTTGTTAAAGAAAAATTGTTTAATAAATTTACTCAATTAAAAACAAGAAAGTTATGTAAATTTCAGCGTTAACCTATACAACGTGAATACGTGATATGCGCTTAGGCATACTTTTTTTTTTAAAACGTATAGTTTACTTATGTATTACATGTTATTTTATTCAGTAAATTTTTATCGAAGTAAAATTCAATTAAATTTTTGATCAAATAGTTAAAATAAAAATATATTAAAATTTATAGAAGATTGCTATAAGAATTTTTTTTTATAATGAAGAAGTACTTTTTTTTTTTTTTTGAAGTCAATAGCTATACGATAGACAAAAAATGGCATACGAAACGATTACGGTACGAATGAATCGAAGCAGTAGTACGATCCCATGGGGATTCACTGTAGCTGGTGGAGATGCTATGCCTATCAAAATTGCCACTGTATGTTAGAAGTTTTCAGTTGTTTTTTTCATCTTTACACTTGTAGAATAAATTGTTCATTTTCAAAGTTCAAAAAATTCTCAGTAAAGCTTGTAGAGAATAATTTCTAAAATATACAATCGATTAAATTTCAAAAAATTTTTATAATAACTAGAAACACAATAATACATTTGATTATCAAGTAGCTAACCTTAAACTCAAACTTTAACTATAATTGTTTATTGAAGATTTGACCATTCCACTTTACAACAAATAGCCAGTGATACCCCGATGACAAATTTCGATTTTTGCCAGGAGACATTTATAATTATAGCATGGAAAGAGAGTACACTAATTCTTATTATACGTGCAGATATTGCTCCATCCTATTGTTGAATCTCCCCGTCTCCTATAAAATACCAAATTTTTCTTAGGGAAGAAAAAAAAAATTAGAAGAAAAAAAAAGATCGATTGAAAAAGAATTTGAAGAGAATAAAAGAGAGGAAAGAAATGAAAAAATCGGGAGTTAATTTTAAAAAAGTTAATTTTTATAATCTCAATTATGCTTTTTTCAATCGATGAAACGAAATTACCAGTTAACTTAGTTTCAAAGATCATTTTAGTTTGAATTTAATTTGAAATATCAAAAATGATCAAACATTCTAATAGTGCTTATATTTATTTATGCATTCATAATATTACACTGTTTTTCATTTCAATATTTTATCAATTTGTTAAATAGTGAACTGGGAGATATATTGACAGATTTTAAAACTATTACTTTGTTAACAATTATTACTAGCTGTATGAGTTTTCTTTGTGATCTAAGCCGATCTTAGCTAATAGTAATTTCAGATAAATACATCTCTTTCTATACGTTTCAGGTTCAAAAAGAAAGCTTGGCGGATAAAGCTGGACTACAAATAGGTGACATGGTGACCGAATTTTCCGGTCGTTCAACTAAAAGGATGTCACTTCAGGAGGCTAGAAATATTGTTGAAGGAGCTTCATTCGAAATTTATATGCTTCTACAAAGGTTTTTACTTTTTTCCAAATCAAATTTTATCTGTTCCTTGAAAAATATAAATATTTCTGCAAATTCGTTAGCAGGAGTAAATACAAATGTAATATGATGATATTTTCATTTTATTTATTTCAAATTATTATTATAATTATAACTATTATAATTATAACGAATTCTTCAATTTGAATGTTCCTTGGAATTTTGATTGACAATCTCAAAATAAGATCGTTGTATCAGCATATGAAATGATCTTCAAGTGAAACATTGATACATATGAAAGTGTGTCAGAAATTTTAATACACTCGAGATGGTTTGCTAGAGATCTAAAATACAGTAAGTTCAGACGAAAAAAGCCAAACAACTCGATAAAATACTATTTCATCCAACTTTATTAATTAATCATTTGAAATTTTAGACAAGTAACAGAGCATTCATGTTTACCGTGGCAGTTAATCGAGAAAAATAATCAAATAACGGTGGATCATATCAAGCCTCAAACTGTCAATTATGATTATTATAAGGTGAAAATTTTAACAATAAAATTAAAATTTAGAACATTGACGTAAAAAAAGAAGCAATTTTTAGAGTGAACGAAAAGATGTATCGCATTCAACATCAAATTATGAAGTACCGATCATGAATGAATCATCCAAATACCGTACATCTTCATACAATAAGCATGAGGTTAGTGCATTCATAAAGGTCAGCAGTATCTCCTAACATATGCAAATAGAAGTCATCTTCATACAATAAAATTATTACTTTCATAAAGTTGAACAGTGCCTCTTAACTATGTTTAAAATAGAAATATTTTTCACGAGAAACTGAATGTGGTGACAAGAGTCCTGTAAAATATCGAAAGCTTTGAAAACTGTCAGTTTAAGAAAACTACAGAATTAATTGATAACTATTCATGAATTCCGGTTTTTTTTTGCTTTTTTCTTTGATTTTTATTCTATGATATTCCATGAATATTTTTCCATTTTTTTAAATTTTATTCCACACATATTCTTTTAACAATATTTTCAAATATTTCAAAAGTAAAAAGGAGATTACAGGGAAGTTCTTTGAATCGTCCACTCAATCTTAATTATCAATCAGTTGCTCCATTTACGAATGTGACAAATACTGAATCTCCGTACACTCAAGGAAAACGTTTTCAGAGTAGCTATAATACTGATAGCTATAGGTATTAATTAATTTGACTTAATTACAGGCACTATTTTAATTAAAAATTGATAGCATTATGGATATTGATTTTCTTGCATTTCTTATTTTATCAATGCACTGGAAAAATCACAGTTATAGAGCAGAATCACGCAATACGAGTGGATATGGTTCTGGTAGTAAACCAACATCAGGTATGTCACGTAATGTACCCATAACGCTTGGTACCTCTACTCCATCATCTGCTCCAACCAGTAATATGACAACTGGTCGAAAAGATAGAATTTATGGCCCAGTTCACGTCGATACGAGCAATGCTTACAGTAATGTTGGGTATCCTTCTTCTGGTTCTGGTGATGGACATCGTCCAGCAAAAAATACTTCCACAAAACCAGTACGGCAAGATGCTGGACGTAAGTTCCTTTTATCATATTTTACTCCATCATACGATATGATGGAATATAGAATAAGCTAACAATAAGTAATGTGAATTTTGTTTGTAAAATATTACGATTAGAAGATATGATGTAAATTAAGAAATATACGAAACACTGCAATTGTTTCAACGTGTAAAAATGCCTTAACAGAAGACACGGACATAAGATTGTCTTTAGATGTTATTTTTAGCTTTTTTACAATGTATTTAATTCAAACAAAAAATGTTTGAAGAAATTAAAAATATTATTTAATAGTTTGTCCATTTTAGGTATCTCATATTTTGTGAACATTTATTTAATACAATTCTTACAGTGCCCTAAATTCGTACATATTATTTTTCACTATTCTGACATATAATGCCAAATAATTTGACGTCTTTTTTTTTAGCACGAGTACCATTTCAACATTCACCGCGCACCGAACGTCAACTGTCCCCGCATGCAACAGTACGTCATCTACAATACAATTCCCCAATGAATTTGTATTCACCACATAGTGCTGCTGAACAATATATTCAACAAACTGGTGGACTTTTCGGCACCGAGTAAATTTCATAGATTTTTCAACATTAAGTAAATTTCATTTATAATGAAAAAAAATGCAGCTTGAAAATTGTGCATTCAATGCTTCCATCGGATGAGAATAGAAAATTATTGATCAAATTATTAAATTTATTTTATTAAAAAAATTTTTATTTCCACTTAAAAAAAGAGATATAAGTTTTTATCAATATTTAGGCCAGCATTGCAAAGACCGAAAGGTGATGAAGCTTATCTAAAGTCCGAAACACGTCGTCTGATAGCGGAAGAGGAAGGTCAAAGTGCACACGACAAATCACCATCAACGCAAAGTGCGAGTTTCAAACGAATATCCCGCGCATGTGGTACTCCAGTTGATTAAGATAAGTACTTAGTAAAAAAATTGTTATCTTAAATGGGATAATTTTTGAATATTGATTACTATCCAAATAATCATCTCTAAAATCAAATTCTCTTTAAATCGTTATAGACCTTTCCCAAAAATTAAGAGAGATTCTATCACCTTCGTTAATCGGTTCTTTGGACACGATTAAATTTTAATCGTTTTGGCATTATTTAGTCCGTTCGCATGTTGACACTAATGAGCGCTTGAAACGTGACCGGAACGTACGATCATACCAGCCGGAAATGTAAAAAATTACATGAATTAAATGAATAAAGTTCATAAAATAATTATAAAATATTACTAACGTTCATTTCTTCTTCCTATACATACAATCAAGATTTTTACCACAAATTAAATGAATTGATTTATGGTAGACAAAATGGATTGGCTTAAATCTTACAAGGAAACGTGTAATTATAAAGAGAAAATGTTGTTCATTTAAGTAAATATCTAATTAATAAAAATGCTCTAACATTACTTGAATACGTTATTAAAACAAGTAATGAGTGATCTTATCGTTCGCTTATATAACGATGATAAATTAATAGTTAAACTTCGAGAATATTCAATTTTTTCGAAAACAACTGTTTATTTGAGTACTCTTGGAAAATAATATTCTCGTAGTTGCGTTCTTAGTAATTATTGATATTTACATATTGTGCTTACTTCTCTTAAATTGTATTTTTGATATTACTGACAGACCATCTGCAGTGTAAGCTAATTTATTTTAATTCACTCATCATTTTTTTTTTTCAATTTGCAATTGTAACATTACATGAACATTTCTCACTAAAATGTTTATTTGCTATAATTTTACAACAATTCAATCCATAACGAAAGTTCAATTCTGGCGCTCACACATTTTCTTTTAAGTGCTACTCTTTGGCATTTAAATTCAAAAAGATTGCCAATTAAAGGATAGTGTAAATCAGTGAGTTACCACTTCACGATAAAGCGGAGAAAAAAATTGAGTGATTATATTAAATTAAGTACTCGATTACTCACTAACCCATTACTCAATAACAGTGTAAATTATGATATTTTATAATTTTTAATATTTTCATAGCCTACAAACATGTAGGTTTCACCGTACAGATTCAAATTCATTTTATATGTAATTTTTGATAATTTTTGACTTTATCTTTTCGTAAATATAATGATAGCTCTTGATATTTATATTTTTACGTTTGAAGCTTAAATATATCCATATATTATAATGCTTGGATATATTATAATGCGTAATAAAATTTGTATTTTAATATCTGAGATGCAGAACAATTTACATTTTACAGTCCTCTGTGTATCTTAGGCATTCAAGAAGATAATAATATAGGACTGATAAGAATTTTTTAGTAGGCACTTTAAATTTTATCAGTGTCTAAAGCCCTGTACGAAAGATTTCTGCCCCTTAAATTTGCCATTTACATCATACTTTTATCATCAAAACTATAGGTTAACCATCTGTATCAGACTTGATCAATTAATGAACGGTTTATCAGACTATTCAATTAATGAACTAATAAAGAATTTCAAAATGTGGCGCCATCTATTCGTTTTTGATTATTCAAAGGAAAAGATTTGTTTTCTAAAGTTTCCAATCGTTACAAATTGATCAACCTATTATTTCCTCTTTAGAAATATTAAAAGAAAGAAATCTATTATCGGCAATGTTTCCGAGAACTTTAAAGTGATAGTTAAATCTTTTGCATATGGATTTTTATTTGGAAATTATTTACTGAGCAAAGTATTGCATTTGTGATTTCTATTGATTAAGCAAAGCACTCAGTTGCAATTTCTATAATTAAATCTCAAATACAACAATCTTTTTATACTATCGCTTAGCCTGATTTAAAGCTGCATGAAATTAAGGGTCATCTAAGGATGAAAGTATCCATAATTTGTGGGTAAATAATACTTTGTGATATCAAAAAAACTGATACTGAAACGAACGGAGCAGTTTTTTTTTTTTTGTTTGGTTTTCCCTCAATAATCACTCATTCATTGTTGCATCACATTTTTTTGAGATAAAACTATCTTTCAACATTCAATATCGAATGTAAGATGTTATTTATAAAATGCCATATAAAATAATGGAATAAAAATATTTCTATAAGAGAACAAAGATCTAGCAATCTTTTATGCTACCAGCTAGCCTAATTTAAACGTGTAATTTTATTTCTTCACATATACACCAGTGGTGTTAGAGTGTATAGTAAAAGAAAACTCAAAAATCATAAGGGTTAGATCCTTCTTACCATATAAAATAATCAATACCTATCTTATGCTTATAAAATTTTATTAGTAATCATGCATGCACTGACAGTTATTATTAGATATCAAAATGAGTGTTTTAAACTTATTTTCAAATTTAGCAAAATTTTATTTGTTTTTGCGTAACTAAATTAAAAATCGATGAGATAATAAGTTTATGCATTTGAAATTGAAATTTAGTACTACAATAATCACTTATTATTTTAACTTATTGATATTTATTGAAATTGCATGTTGAATAATATGCTCTCTTTTTTTTATATCATACTTCCTTTTTCAGTTAATTCCAATCCTTTAAATAAATTATTAGATTGTATATATTTTTTTCTATTTATTTTATTTCTTTCTTTATTTATTTTATTAGGTCAATTCCATCGTTAAATTTATGCATGCAATACTAAAATTAATGGAGCTCGAACTGACTGAAATAGCAAAATTATTTAGTACAGTACCTCATTATTATTACTACTATATTGAGTACTGCCGAACCACTAATTGTCACCAAAGTGATTCAAGAATGAATTATAATGCTTTTTCATCATAATATCATGGTGATGTAATTTCAATAAAACTTCATTTTTTTGAATTCAAAATTCTTTTACAAAGTTGCTAAATTAATCAAGTCTCTTTTACAAGATTATTAAATTAATCAAGTTAAGTCTATAGCGAAATATAAGCAAACAACAATATCACAAACCAGAAGTATTACTTCCACAAAAATATATGCATTGTCTATTCTACGAATTCTGTTTGTTCCAGCTGAAATGTTATCCTAAATTTAATTCCACGATCACTTTAACAATAACTATTCGGAAGATGGCAGTCTTTAATCAAACATCAATGCAATGAATCAAAATAGAATCAATCATTTCCTTAAGTCATTGAGTGATGTGATAGTTTGCTTAAATTAAAAAAAAAAAAACGAAAAAAAGCAGCTAAATACATAAGCTCGTTACCGTATCGTCGAAAAGTGCACAAATACATCGATTTTGTAAGCTAATCACCAAAATTTTTGTATTTGTTTGATTGTTTCTGTTTTTCACTTTGTTTTCGATTCAAAAGGACCTGAAAAATGCATCAATTGTGGACTTCGTAATTAAAAAGTGAACAATAAAATGTTTTTTGGAAGTAGCTAAAATTGTAAAGCTTTTTTCCTCTCCACTCATGAGAGTCAAATTGCCCAAACAACAATTTGGCAGGAATTTCATTAGATTTTTTTTAATTTTTTGTTCCTGCGTTTGAAAAGAGTAATAGTTTCGCTTACCATGAGAATCCTGTTAGCAAACTAATTTTATAACTTGCTTATTCAATCATGAAATGCGGAAATATTATCACAATTACAGCGATTATCAATTTGAGGTGTAGAAAAAAGAAATGGAAGAAGAAGTGATGAATTGTTTTCGGAAATTTTATTTGCTAGAAATACGTTGAGAATTAGGGAAGTATTAGTGACTGCAATCTTTATCAAATCGTAAATTATCAGCATATGAACAAGTTTAGATCTTATCATTTTACAAATTAGTGTTCGCATAAGTGTTAGCTTGCGCTAGAGCTATTGGTGAAATGGCAATTTTGGAGGTGAAGATTGTGATGCTTGTAACGATGGGTGCTTTTGCATTATTGTTCGGTCTTCTACCAACAAAAGTTTGTCATTTATTAAATTTACAAAATATTTAACAAATAAACATGAAATGCTGAGAAATACTTTGGTAATTTAAAGCCTATTAATAATTTATAAATTATGAAAATATGCTTACCATGATTAGACTATTATTTCGAATTCATAAAAATTTAGCATTGCTTTCACAAAAGTACCAAAAAATTATATGCTACCAAAACTCATTTATTTTAAAATTATTTTTAGATATACAAATACATCGAGATGCAGCGGGCAACTAAATCTCCTAAAGAGAAATTAGCAACTCGTTTTCTTTCTATATTATCATGTCTTTCCGGTGGTGTATTCTTAGGTGTTTGCTTACTAGACCTGCTACCTACGGCAAAGTAAGTATTCATCTGTTTATTAGTATAACATATAAACTACACTGGTAGTTCATTTCTTTAGTTTTAAAATATTCTATATTTCTATTTTAGGCTCCTTCAAATATTGGTGCCAAAAAAGTTTCAGGTATAAACTGAACTATGTGAAACTTGGCATACGTTGTAAAACTAGTATTTCATTAATGATTCTAACAGTAGGTGAATTAAAATAATAGTAAACGAACTAGCATTATTTCTCTCAAAATCTGATATTCAGCCATACTTGGCGTGAAGTAATGTTACAGCGAAATAGCTCAATATCCGACCAATTTGAATATTTTAATAGATATCAGTAAAATGTTGCAAAATATAATGCTATTTTCAGTGAAGCATTTGATAAAATAAAACAACAGAAAGTATGGGAAACGCATTATCCATACATGGAAGTTTTAAGTGGTTGTGGCTTTTTTGCCGTTTATTTGGTGGAGGTATTAGCCATTCATATTTATAATCGAGAATATATAGATGCGAATCGAAATGAATGCAAGAAATGCAAGAATGACAAAAATGTGATAGAGTAAAGTTTAGATGATGCATGCATTTGAACATTTGAAATGTTTTGCTTCATATTTGTTAAATTCAAAAAGCACATTTTCATTAATGTAAAAATGGAAATCATCTCTACAAAGCATTGAAAATCACGAATGAATTTGCTCTGTTTAAATTATTATAACTTTCTAACTACTTACAAAAAAATCTTTCGAAAAATTTCGCAGAATTTTGTATGATATACAAAATTCTGCAAAATTTTAGAAATTGAATTCAATTGAATTTAAATCCAAATTGAATTATTGCATCCATATTCATAAACTAAACTGTGAAAAGTTTTTTGCATTTATTTATAGAGAACGATTTAATAGATGTGAACAAGAAGAAGACGAATGTCAAAGAAAGAAGGAACAAATAAATCTCTCAATGGTAGAAATGAAAGTTCCCACAAAAGATAATTATGTGAAGTCGATAACTTTAGTGGCTGTTTTTACAGTTCATTCCTGCCTTGAAGGATTCGCTTTCGGCGTTCAGGTTTTTTTTTTAAATTCTTAAAGAATTTGTTTCTTTCTTTGTTAGATAAAAACTCATAGTATATCAATCTATTGTAAAATTTTTAATTTTAAAAAATTCAAACTTTTCATTATCTCTGCTACAATTCTTTTGGTTTAATCGAAGAAGATACAAGACTCAAGTCTATTTTCAGTATACAATGTTCAGTGTGACAACACTCTTTCTTGGAATAATCGTGCATAAATCAGTGGTTGCATTTAGCATTGGAATGAATCTAATTAACAGTCATCCCAGTAAAATATACTTTGTTATATCGTTGGTAATATTTGTGGCATTAACATCACCTATTGGTGGTTTCATTGGAATTGCTTTAGAGGTTTTTTTTTTAAACATTTGATAAAAATACATTTAGTAATTTATTAAGAAAATACTTTGAAGTATACGTTGATCTTAAAAGTTATACTTTAAGTTAGGAGAAATTAAGAAATTGTACATATAAAAGTAGCTGCATTTTGTCCTAAAAAAAAAAGCTTTGAACAGTTTCTATTAAAGTGCTCTTTCATCCATGAGCTATTGTTTTAAAGATAAAATAAATTAACACTTCCTTTTATTAATAATGTTGAGTGTTTCACAATTAAATAGTCAGGGTGATCTAACACTGAGAAATGTGGAAGCATACCTTAAATTGCAGGGTGTACAGCTTGCTGAACAATCACAAAATATTGTAACAGCAATAGCATCATCACTCGCTAATGGTACCTTCATCTACATCACTTTTTTCGAGGTTTGTTTGACTCTTTCCTGGTTTTAGTTTGCTCTCTTCAAGATCGAAATCTTAAAACAATTATAGTAAGCGATAAAATATGACAGACATTTAAGCATTTACTTCCTCCTCTCACTTTCCAATTACTGCTTTTGAAGAGTTTGTTACGTGACGAGATCTTTGTTTTCGCCTTCTTTCCATTATTCAGTTTTTTCTAATGCTAAATTTTTAATATACTAAAATTTAAATATTAAAATATTTTAGCCGCGCTACTGTAGAGACTGTTTTTATATGCTTCTTATATACTGTACACTTCTATATACTTTTCAGATACTGTACGCTGAACATGAAGTGCAAAAAATGGAGAAATGGTTGAGCGCAGTTGTGGGTTTTGGCCTTATAGCCATTTTGATCTTATTTACACACTGATCGCTTGGCATCCCTCTGAAATTAATAAATTTTTGAATGACTTTGACTTAGCTGATTTAATTTTTGAACTGTTGTAAAGTAAATACTTAAATTTAATATTCTTATCATTCACAATGCACAAACAATCAAAATTCAATGCCTACATTAATACAATTCAAAAATAAGTTTGAAACTTACCACTATCCGAATTCATTGATAATAATGACATGAAACTCTGAAATTAATGAAATTATCAGAAAAACATTAAACTTGTGCTATTACGCCAAAAAAAAGAAAAAAAAAAGTAGGAGTGATTGTAATAGAGACCAAAGATTTTAATCTGTTACTTATTTTTGCAATTTCATTTATCTCATCTTTCGATTTATTAAACGAAAACTATCTCACAATAATCTTAATTAAATTGGATAAGATCGTTAATTAAAACTATTCAAAAAGTTGTGATTTTAATTATCAATATGCTTTCCAAAATTCTATATTATGAACTATTAAAATAAACTAATAAATCGTCAAAAGAAGTAACACTTGAATCAACATGAATTTATCTAATGAATTCTATTAAATGGACACCTCTCTGTCCATTAAGGTCATCAAAGAGGTCACCAGGGCTTACTTATTTACTTGGAATAAACAATCTGGTGAATAACATAATTCACAACTTATCACGCAGAATGAAGCACCAACGGATTGTAGAACAGTGAGACGGTGCAATTAATGGGACATTGGTGCAGCTGATATTAAGTGGAGCGGTATCGGTATTGTTAAGTTGAACTTTGATGGTTATCTTTACTGCTAGGAGAGTACAGTAATCTCTCTGCTGCTCTTTTTTCTTATCTCAAAAATGATAGATCATAATTATCTCTCCAACTCATTCTTTTTTCTTAGCATTATGAATTCTAACTTTTTTTGCATTTACTCTTGAATGATTTATACTTCAGGACAAAGTAAAGTAAAATGATGCCAGTGGATGATGATCGACCAACTAAAAGCCGCATGCCAAAACGGTTATCGGGCTATATCAACAGGGTATCATATTTTGTCCTGTTTTTATTAAGCGAAATAATTATGAAGAGCATTATTGTAAGGTTAAAGTTTATTTCCATTTCCTGCGCAAAACTATTAGTATTTCATTCTACGAATTATCTTCTTTTCGAAATCTTTTTAATTATAAGGGGTCAACAAGAAGTTGTCGTCGTTCTGTCATACACTTTTCCCGTTGATATTAAAAAAATTTATCAGAATTTCATAGACTCTCATTAAATAACAAATTTTTCCTTTTATTCATTAATTTTTGATTTTACCAAAGTTGTGAAACATTTTTGAAGAGAAAGGAAACAATCTGTCATCATATATAGATATATAAATAGGTAAAACAAAATGATCGAGTAAATGATGAATTACAGATCGAACAGCGTACCATCGGTGGTCCATGTAAACGTCGTTACTGGTTTGTGTTATCGGACGATTCACCTTATTTGTATTGGTACAAAAATAAGGGTGACATCAGCTGTACTGGACGAGTTCCCCTCTCCGGAGCTGCTTTTACTTTTGATCCTCGTGAAACTGGCCGATTTGAAATACAGTTTGTTTCATTTTCGTTTTTTTTTTTTGTGCTTGCATGAGATTTTTATAATTATTTATGATTGATTTCATCCCAAAAAAAAAATTATAATTCAGAGATGCCACTATCTGAAGGAATTTATTACATTTTAAAATATAGTTTTTGAGTTATTAATGGTTGAATGAATTTTATTAAAATTCAAGTTTAAATTATTCAAACCTTCATTTTTGCTACAAACCAAATTCGTATCCTTTTTGTCAAGTGTTAGAGTTACTGATCAGAATTTGTTGTTTAGTGTAAATAACGAGATACATGTTCTGGAAACAGCCGACAACAAATCACGTGTTCAGTGGTTGCAACGGCTTCAGAGCAATCGTCGTCGACATTATGAGAGAGAAAATATTGATAATATATTAAAAGTTGTAAGACTTCCCTTGTTATTTCTTAGTTTTAATTGTAGTGAAATAATGTTTGATTCCACGAAGATTTTTCATTAAGTGATTTGACTTATATGATTTATCATTTCTCGTAAAACTTCCAATGACAGTCTAATAATCAAGAAATTCCAATATATATCACAACTTTAAAAAAGATAAGGCTACTAATTTTTCGTATTGTAACATATAAGATCGGAAGTGCGATAGATGGATGCGCGGTAATATTTTTATTTCTATTTATTCCAGTCAAAAATACTTAGCAAATATGACCTGATGCTTAATACATTTAGGAAATCGTATCTCTCTCGTCTCACTCGCTTTCGGGAAATGATCACTCTACAGAGAGTTCCTCGAATGCTGAAATAAAAAATTTAGAAGAGGGTGAAGATATGATGGTGATAGATGGACCTCCAGATGAAAAATCACTTGAAGATGAAATTAATGATGCTGTGAGTTGACCTTCTGTAATAGTTTTGCCAAGGATATTAATTTTGGTTATTTTCATTTTTAAATTTTTTGATTTTAATATGAAGCTCACAGATATTATTTGTTTAAAGTTGAAGCCACATGCGAATAATTGTAAATTTCTGTAAAATTTTAGGCCCAGTCTGTATTTTATCTTAATTCGGATGGAGAACTGAATGCAAAAAGTTTAGAGATGCCAATTCCAGTCTCTCCGAATACAGACATTTTAAAAAGTGCAGAGGAATTAATTGAAAAAATAACAGAAGAAACTCAGGCAAAAGCGAAAGTACTTGAACAACCAGCGAAAAAGGTGATAGGAAAAGCCAAAGCTACGTTGCGGTTAGTACGTTATCATACTTAAGTTTGCTTTTCAAAATATTTGAAAAGTGATTCCTGTTTTTGCGTTGAATTTAACTGATATGGAGCAAAGTGAATAAGAGATTTACTTCAAATAACTCAGAATTCGTTTTCGTATCCACCAGTAAACACACAGTATTATTCTCAGAGTTCTGATATTTTCTTTCAGAAAGAAGGAAGAAAAAAAAGGAAGAGAAAGAACAGAGAAAATGGACAATGGTTTTCAAGCTGGAAATGTAGATTCAAAATAAATAAGATAAACATTTAGTAATGCATGCGTGTTTTAGCACATTTTTTTTTCAGGCTTTCTACACCACTGCGACAGTCTTGTGAACACTGCAAAATTGCAAGTTTATTTCAAATTTGAAATTTCCAATTTCATCTATTATGTCTTTTAATATATATATCATCTATTATGTCTTTTAATATATATATCATCTATTATGTCTTTATCATCTATTATGTCTTTATATTTACGGAAAAAATAAATTTTAGATTTACGGAAAAAATAAATTCAGATTTACGGAAAAAATAAATTTTAGAAAAAAATGGAAAGTCATTATGTACTGTTGTTGCAGTTACTTGGTATTGTAAATGAACTCAAAGATCGTTGTTATGAACTTACGGACGAAGTGGGAGCTAATCAAGATTTGATTACTATTCTACGGCAGAGTTTGCTCAAATCAAATCGTCAAATAGAATTAGTGTATGCATTTGTTGTTATGTCTGTATAGTTCTATCTGCAAAATGTTTGTTTTATCAAAGCTTTTTGTAGTCAGTGCAGACAGAATCATTTCAGAAAACGTATGGAAGAACAGAAAAGCCCTCAAGAAAGAATCAGTATGATTCTTGAAAAGGAAAGCGAGCTTACAGCATTGCAGCTGAATGCAGCGTCCTACAATCGTGAAATTCGGATTTTAAAAGAGCAGAATAAGTAAACAGTATTATTTTTGTTGTGTATACATTGATTTTACAAATACACATAATGTTAATGCATTATTATTTCCTGTTTGCAGACAATATGAACGAAAAATTGAAGAGCTAAGTGCTGAAATTGATGCGTTTCGGGAATCAGTACGTTCAAAAGAAGAGCTCATAATGAAAATTTATAGTGAACAGGGGGGAAATAATGTTCAGGGTCATTTAGACGGCTCGGTTGATGATGGTACGTTTTTTCACTATTTTTCTGAATTAATTTCTAGATTTTACCGATTTGTGAAATAAATATATAGTTTATATTGGAAATGCGTTTGTTCATGATTTTTGACATTATGTAAAATTGTTACATAGTGTTTGTTCAAAAATTTGAGATGTTCCTAGTTTTATGTTAGCTTTGGTTAATCAGAGTAAGCCATCGTTAAGTTTTTGAGACTGTGTAAACTGTTCATTATATTATGTATTGGAGCTTATGTTTGACTTAAGCATTCGTTTTACGTTCATGAACGATGTGCAAATTCGGAGCGTCTGAGAACACTAAATTAAGCATTGTTCAGTTGAAGTGCCCGAAGGAATATTAGTCGATTTTGGTAGTAGCTCAACTGATGAAAATGCACAGCGAGTGTTTGATGAGGCAGCTGTCAATGATGTAACAGAAATGCGAGATCTTGTTATGGGGTATCGAAATCAGAATATGTTCTTAAATCAGGAGGTTCTCGGTATGATTTTTTGCTAAATAAATGGAAAACAAATACTTTTTCTTTCTTTTCTAAAAATTCACACCTTTTTTTTTATAATTACTTTTTTATTCTTTAGAGCTTCAGAAAATTGTGCAGAGCTTGGAAGGCAGGGAGCGTCGAATTACTCGACAAAACTTTGACATCGAAGCTTGCTATTATCAACTTAAAAGTCGGTATATCATGGTCCTGAACCATTTCAGAGCGTCAAAAAATGACAGTAGAGGTTTGATAATTGATGTTGATAGTTCACTTTTTCCTTCGAATTCTCGAGTCATTTTTCAATTTATATCCTATACTATGTTTATTTTTAATTTTTTCTTTATTTTCCTATAATTGTTTGACTTTATTTACTTGTTTTTTACTAATATTTCTTTCTTAATCATCTTGAGCAATAACTACTGCAAGTACAAAAACTTCTATATTCTAGAATGTAAAAGATTAAACGATTCATTATTTGACTTAGTGAAATTCAATTTGAAAAAATTTTTAGTTCTGGAACCAGGAGTAATCGAGGCTCTGATTGACGAAACAAACTGGACTACAAATAAAAAAACGTTAAACAACGATAAAATAGAAAGTGAGGATTCGTTTGTTTTGTAGGACAGTGTAGGAATAATGTTTACAAACTTTCTTGCTTTCCAAATTCTTTACAATAGAATTTAAAATCAGAAAGATAGATACTTTTCATCATTTCCTAAGATAGAATTTTTTAATAGATAGAATTTTTACTAATATCTTGTAGTCTATAGCTGAATTTTTATAGCAAGACTTACTGACTCTCTTGGATTTTATTTGAATGATGACAGAAAGCGTCATCAATTACGACCCACTGATATGTTTGAAGTTGCTGCTGAGTTAAAAAGTATAAGTGACGAGATTGTTGGTCAACAGGAAATGGTAAGTTATATAAATCCTTCCCCAAATATTTTATGGATTTGAATACCATAAAACTTAAATTTTTCTAAAAAGATTTATATTTATCAAAGTTCATCATTTAATCCAGAATTATTGTTTTCTGATCTGTTTAGGAACAAAATCCTCAGTACATAGAGTGGCTACAAAAATGGGATAGTTTCTTGGTGAATTCTGCAGTACGTCCTCTAAAACCCACTACTGAGTTAAAGAATTTGGTGAGAACCGGTATACCAAAAACATATCGGCCGAGGGTCTGGAAAAGGTTCTTTTTTTTAATCTTCATTTTTTTGTTATTAAATTTTATATGTTGATTTATGATATATGGGATTGCTCTCTAATTCTAGCAAATTATACTTTTTTCTCAACATTAGAGAAAGATGACTATATTTCGGATTTTCTCTTTTCCTCATGTGTATGCTATTTCCGCTTTACGATTCTGTTTTTTGTAATATGTGTTTACGGGATTTTGATGTTAGGAAGGTTATTTCATAAGCTTATCTTTAATTTATTCATCTCGGATTTTTATTTTTTTATAGATTTTATTATGTGTGAGGTAAAAATTCCTATACCAGATAAGAATTTCTATACAAGAAACTATAAATTAATTAATCTCTAAATTCTTCCAGCCTTGTTAATTATGTAGTGGGTGATGAAAAGGCCGATCTTGGCAATGGTTACTATGAGACACTTCTTCGGAAGGTGAATGCTATTAGCATTAATACTGTCGAAAACGATAGTGCTTTGAAGCAGGTTTGCATTGTAGTAAATCTAGCTTTACTGAAAATTCTGTTTCTATAAGCAATGTTTTGTTTAATCGAATGCTTCTGAGGCATTCTGATTTGCAGTTTTTGATGTATTATTTTCTTTAAAAAGACAGCGGACGGAATTGAACATTCATAAATGGAATTATTGCAGATAGATTTGGATTTGGCTCGAACTTTACCCACAAACAAGTTTTTTGATGAGCCAAAGTCAGAAAAAATTATTGTTCTACGTCGTGTACTCTGTGCATATCGCTTTCATAATAAGTCTGTTGGGTATTGCCAGGTGCTTTAATTTATCACCGTAGTTTTGGTTTTCTTTTCATTCTTTTATGCTTTTTTTTTGGTCCGAATTCATTTCTACAATTACAACTCTCTTGTTTTTGTCTTAAAGAATGTTGAATAACAAATATTTAAAAAAAGATTCTCACAACTTAAAATTTTATCGATAGTCCTGTCGATCAAAGTTTGGGTTAAAAGCACTGATAGAAATAATGCAGAGGACTATTATCTGCCCTACATGTGATATGAATTTATGAATTTGGTCGAACAGTTTTGAAGTATCAATAGTTTCAAATTTCAGGGTTTAAATCGTTTGGCTGCTATTGCTTTACTGTTTCTTGAAGAATCGGACGCTTTTTGGTTTTTGGTAGCTTGCGTCGAGCATCTCCAGCCCTCTGCATATTATACTTCTACTTTACTTTGTGCCGTTGCCGATCAAAAGGTGCTATTTCTTTCTGCCTGTTACTTGATGAAACATTTACAGACAATTTTGATTTTTGAGTTTTTTTTTGAAATAAGGCTTCAAATCTAAGTAAATTTGTGCTTACTGATGTATATTATTAAAGACCTTTGAATTAAAATCTGTTTTGATTATAAGGTGAGCATTTCATCTGCAGTGCTTTTTTACAACTATAATATTTATGCAGCGATGGAGTGAGTATAAGAGTATAAGTTATGATGAGGTCAGTGATTAAAAGATATATGTTTTGGTTCACTTTTAACATTGCCTTTTGAGGAAACTATATTTATTGTTTTAGGTGTTACGTGATCTGGTCAGTGAAAAACTCCCGAAATTATCATCTCATTTGCGCAAATTTGAGGTGGATCTCTCAGCTTTTACACTTAGTTGGTTTCTTACATGTTTTGTTGACGTGTTTCCGCATACTATTTATTTGAATTTATTCGACGTTTTTCTTTATGAAGGGAATAAGGTGAGTAAAAAACAGTTTATATTATTATTTGAGTCTCGGATGTGTGTTTTCCGCAGTATTTAGCAAATTGAAAAGTTAATCATTATTTTTACTATTTATTCTTGTCATATCGCGATGTTCTTTTTGATACGTTTTCTTGGAAATTTAACAGAAGTGACATAGAATTCATTTGTGAAAAAAATATAAAATTCTTATTTAAATATTTGTTTAAATTCTATACAGGTTCTTTTTCGATTTGCGCTTGGAATATTGAAACTTGCCGAAACCTCAGTGTTGGAGTGTAAATCTATCGGAGCTGTGCATGCCTCATTAAGCAGAGTAGCGCAACATGTTCCCAACTTCAAGACCTTAGCGCAGGTGAAGTTTTCATTATATCACTTGTGTGTGCTGTGTCATCTAAGTAGAAAATTAATGTTTTCCTTGACACTGAACTTATAATAATCTCATTTTAACGAAAATGATCTTGGTGATAAGTTGAAAATCAGTATAATGTGATTTTTTTTCTAGAACTTAGTCCATTTTGTTCCTGATGACATAAGCTCGTCATAGGAAGTGAGAGAAAGATTATCACACAACATAGTGCGATGTTATTGCTTTGATTTCAGATTGCTTTTAACGATTTAAATCCTTTTCCACAAAAGGGTATAGAAATGAAAAGGCAATTTTATCTCAGCCAATTAACAGTAAGTTGCATTTTCTCCAGATTTTCTAAAAATGGGCAAATTGAACAAACTTTTTTGCTTTGAAACACAAGCTAAAGTTTACTAAAATCTAAAAGAAAGTCTAATATTTGAAGTTTAAACAGTGCCATTACTCATACTCTAATTCACACTTTTTATAATATATCGAGTGAAATTTGAAAGGTTAAAATTGCAGCGAAAGAATTTCAGGCAACACAGTAAATGATTTATGAAAAGTTAATGTGAGAAGCATTACATCGCTTTGACCTTGCAGTAAGAATCATTTTTGCAGATAATTTCAAGATATTATATGGTATAACATATTGTTTTGCGTTATGGTACATAATTCTTATTTGTTACATTTTTAAACTGTGATAAGTTTCCTCTATAAAAAATTATGTTTCCATGTTTTCTATTGTTAATTATGAATCACACTTACATATTATTTTTTACTTTCAGTTCATCTTTGGCACTTTCTCTTACACTATTTCACCTCCCAATGTTTGTAATTTATGGACTATATTTATCCGTGAAGTACAAATATTTTTAAAAATCATCAAATAAATTTTCACTTCTATAAATTATTATGGACCAGCTCCATGTATATATGATCACTTTTAGCGCTGCAGAAGTTATTTCTGCTATCGAAAAATGTTATTTATAAATTTTGGTAGTCTTCCAATTGATGTTATTATTCAGTTCAATTTTTTCACTGAGCGCACACTATTTTGTCATGCCTTATTTGTGCCTTTCATTCTGTGAATTCTTATTTCTCTTATAAAAAAAAATTGGAACAATATGTCGGTTAATCTCCGTACATTTTGAAAAATCGTTGCTTACTACTTTCCATACTATTTTTACTTTTCGGTTTATTTCAAAACATATTTCTTTTTTATTTAACTCTGTGAACTGTATTCATATATTTGTCTATATTTTAAGCTGCACATTTAATGTGGATACTCTTTCTGTGTGAATAAATGATAAGAAGGATTTCTTGTGGGAGCAATGAAATTTTTTCATAAAAATAAAGTGCATAGTTCTTGTAATAGAAATCAGGAAATTAAATCTCCCCTAGGAATTTTCAAAATTTTTCCAATCGTTCTCACGGTTTCATCAGTGCTTAAACGCAAAAGATTTTCCTTCGTCAAATATTTTGAATTCACCAAACAGCATCAATACGAAGGTTTTTCGAGAAACAATTCATTTGGTTTCAAAATCTCGAATCCAAAATACGAGTAATATGTTCGACATGTAAGTGAAAAGTGTAGGAAGCTCACTTTCCATATTGTTTCAAATAACAGAAGAGTGTAATGAACGTTACATGCATTTCTGAAACATTTAGCGAATGTCAAATACAGATGACTTAAATACTTTCGATATTCCAAGGAAAGGAATAACTTTAATTAGTATAAGTGCTCATCACTATATCATTTATAATAAATTATTTAAAATTTAATAGGGCGGAGATTGAGCTAGCAAATTTGCTTGGCAATATTAATAACTAAAGTGAATAGATTACAAGCAGTTAAGTAGTCATGACGAAGCTGTGACATCAATTAAGATAATTGATGCTAACTTTGCTTTCTTCACCTGTACTAACGGAATTGAATCTTTTCATTTAATGGAAATAATCTTTTTAGCTCTTATTACATTCGAAAAATTAGACTAAATATTATATGCCCCTATACATATGATCTTGAATAAAATTTCCATGCCATATATTTTTATGTAGCTCTTAAAAATAACTATTCTTGTCATCTTTCATAGATATTTCGGAATTTTTTCCTTTTCTTTTGCACGTAATAAAAATTCGAAAACTTTTTGATCTTTGCATCTCATGCTCCTGTATTTACGTATTGTAAAGTGTTAAAATCAATTACAATATTCAATATTCTATGTTTCATATGTAACGAATGAATTAATTAATAAGCAAAATAATCCTGTAAATTTCATTTCTCCACAATTTAATCCAACAACTAAAATTGGAACTATCGAATTGTCATCTTCTGAACAATCAATGAAACATATAATCGGTTGTTCAAATCATAGGATAGTGTAAAATGAAGGCTAGTTAGTATATTTGTAGAGCTATTTTCTTTGCAAGGATGTCATCGATATTTCCATCATAAATTGAAAGCAATTGAAGGAGACGATATCTCAATGGCAATTAAATTAACAGAGTAACGAAGCGCATCTAACTCGATTGGAAAGTGAATCTCGAAGTAAATTCTATTTGGAGTATATGGATGCCAATGACAACCATACAATTCGATCAAATAATTGAATCAACTGAGGCAAGAATGAAATGATAAACGAGGAGAGGATGATGAAAAGAATGATGAGAAGAAAAAGAAGGAGGAGTTTAGCTTATAGCCATCGAATTGACACTAACCTTTTTTTTTTTGCAAAAATTTAACCTGAACGTTTTTTCTTTTTTTATTTTTGAAAATTCTTTCTTAGATTGCAGAACTGAGAAAAGAGGAAGGATATATTGGAATTCGAAGATACGATGATATGAATTTGTGATCTCCATGTTGGCAATTTTTCTAAATGTTATTTTTGATAATATTGTTCATTTCTGTTATCGTTATTATGATAAGAATGAGAGAAGTGAAAAATTTTGTCAACTATTAAGATTTGATAATTTAAAAAGTTAATTATTATTGGATGATAATTTACAGAATACAAATGAGTATTTATAAAGATGGCATAAAGTTATCATTCAAAAACATTAGCTGCTTTAGCTGCCTGTAATGATTGGAAGTAATGATTTTGAAATCTTCCCTCATAGGTACAATACTAAATAGCCTGAAAATGTTATGAGATTAAGATTGGGATTTGGGCTTTCAACAATCTTGAGATGATAGATTAGTTTATTGACGGTATTTCTGCATCATTATTGATGAATTTGCATTTATATTTTTAGACTGCTAAATATGATGTTTCCTGCTTATGCATTTAGTGCTGCGGCCCCATCAACAGCTTGGCCAGCGTTACTGCCACCGCTTCAACCCATATCGCCATATGGTCCTGCTCGAAACGATATGGGTCAGTGAGTTTTTCCAAATGTTCAAAGTAAGAACTAATTTGGTTTTAAATTTCAAATAAGCAAATTAAGAATCGAATAAATCGTAACATTCATTCAATTTTTTAAATTTATTTAATGTTAATTGGCTTTAGAATGAAAAAATAATCTTAAATAATTTTTTTTAATCCCAGTGATAACTAAATTAGTTAGAAGATTCCAATCACCTCTGTGTTATATGTTTCGTAAAAATTAATGTAGTGTTGTCGTTCTAAGCGCTGGAAAGATATATACGAGAGCGGATAAGCATACATACTTAGGCACTTCGATAAAAAAACTAGGTCAACACTAAATAAGCAATTCATTTGAGATTCATATAATTTGAAATTTCATAAATCCGTTTCAATTTAAATTTTTCAAATATTTACAGTGGATTTCTGTTGAAATTTCTTTTTAAAATTACTTTTTATTAGCGTCCAGTGTTTCATTTTCTATAAATTGCTTACTTTGAAGTTACCTTACATATATAAGCATTTAGGTTTTGATTGTGTAAGTGCTCGAAAATTTAATGAGCAGAACTGTCATGCTTATCTAACACCATATTCCAATGATGCTATGGATGACAGAAGTAAACGCAAGCAGCGTCGTAATCGAACGACATTCAATCAGCAACAAGTTAGACTTATATCAGTTTTGGAATGTTTAGTGATTAACTTGGAAAATAATATCAATGCAATTTCTTTCTTCTTTAATTTTTATGCTAAATTACCAAATTATAGTATTCCAATGATTGCAAAAGAAAGATTTTGGTAAACAAAAATCAGCTCTGGTAAACAAAGCTGAGATAATCTCTGAACCTGCTTGAAATCACTAATGACATTTAAACTCAAAAATTATTAATAGAGGCTGGTTGTATTTGATTTTTGCGAGGTGAAACAACCAATAACATTTATGAACAGTGCTTTTCTTGAATACCTTAAGAAATATCATTAACAATAATTGGTATTGAGATTTTGATAACATGTTCAAACGACCATATAAGATAGCTTCAACGAGCTATGTTCATCCCTAGTTACCTAATGTAGCACCGTTCCTATTTTAATTGCTTTCATCCGTATCGAACGATATTTTCAAGGGTTTTTGAGCACTTTCTAAATAAGACCATTGAAATTTTAGAAGCAAGCAGCTCTAACGATTTTAAGTAGGATCTTTTTTGTCGAGATCTTGTTTCGGCTAACAATGACAAAATGATGGAGAAGTCGAGAAAGATGAAATTACATTAAGTTGATGCAATTTTATCTTCATGAAGGCGAACGACAACTGAGCTAATTTTATCATGACCGGATCTAGCAATTCAATTTGGCTCATCCTGGACAAAATTTAATTATGTGTTCTGAAAATTCTTTAAACAAATTTGCGATCCTTCATTGAAAGAACTTCTCCTAACTATCCCACCATTTATATGTGGAGGTTTTCAAAAATTTTGCTTGATACTGAAATGAATCAATAAACATAAACTTCATCGATTTCTAAAATATATCGTTTTTGTCGCTTACAATTAATACTAGAAATTGAAAGTGAGAAAGTGGAGCTCTATAGAGCATTACCATCATCCTCGGGAAAAAGTTTGAGCTAAAATGTCGAGACTTTCTATAACTTAGCAAATGATGATACCAACGGAAATCATCAATCTTAAAAGTTATTTTATATTATTAAAATTTAGAAGTATAATTTTGAAAATATGTTGCAAAAGTAAATTTATTAGCAGTGCGGAATAATGCGATTAATATTATGAGGATTACATACATTAGCATTAACATTTCATGCACTTAGAAAGTTTTAACGGTAATAAAAAGCAATTGTAATAGATCGTTTTTAATTGGATTTAAAAACATGACGTTAAAGTACTGGAACTTAATGGTAGGTAGTTAATTACATTAAATATTCACTTGAAGGAAGACGTAAGAAATTTCAGCTATAATAATAGAAACATAGGATTCATTGCAAATAAGTTACTGATTTTAAATTACTGTTTCCAATAAAACCTCTACTTAAATGCTTCATCTGTTGTGGAAAATTGAAAACATGGGAGGTTTTATAACACCTTTTCACAAATACTATACCAGATCTCAACCCATCTTTTGGTTTAATTTTTAATATTTAAATCAAATCTTTCATTACTATTCCCATTTCTTAGGGTCTTTTTTTCTAGCTGACCGAACTTGAAGCAGCTTTTCGTAAATCGCATTATCCTGATGTGTTCGCACGAGAAGAGCTTGCTACGAAAATAAATTTACCAGAAGCCAGAGTACAGGTAAGTAGAAGTTAGCGTTACTGTTTTATCGAACAAAGAAAATATGAGTGATTTGCAGATGTTCACGTTCGATCATACCTGGACACAAACGGAAAAAAAAAATCTTTTAGGTGTGGTTTCAAAATCGTCGGGCGAAATGGCGAAAAACAGAACGTGATGATCAGAAATTAAATCACTGTAATGATCAGCATGGAACTGTTGCATCTAGTATACAGCTGAGTGAATCAGACTTGATTTCATCATTAGCTTCATCTCCTCCTTCGTTGTCAACAGCTTTAAGCCAATTTTGTTCTATCAGAACATTAACAGCGCCATAGCTCTAATTTAATTTTGTCCAATAAATTATTCAGTTGTTCATGAACTCTTAATGTGCATATCATTATATCAATGTCGCGGGATGCAGTGAAAGCTATCAACATCACAACATTGTACATCTCATAAAATATGAAAGGACATTGTTATTAGTTGCCGGAAAACAGCACTATCAAGTTTCTTCTGCGACGGCAAGTGTATAGTACGCAAACATGTGACTGTGTTATGAATTTATTACTTATATTTGCACCAAATACAAGTAATTACTGTTTTTTCAACTTAACCACTTGGTTGCATAGCTGGAAATACCTTTTCCATGTTAAAGCACAACACATCTAGAACATAAAACGACAGTATTAGCATGCCAACACCAAATAATTTAGAATAATCAGTACACAAATTATGCGGAATTGTTTAATACGAAGAAATAAAATCTATAAATATTTAATACGCTTAATACGTATAAAATTAAAAATCCAAAAACTAGAAAAAACTCTTCTAGTTTAAACAAAATTGTTGAAAGACACTATCAGTCCAGGCGATTATAAGGAGGAATAGTATAGCACTGGACAATGGAAGTAAGCAAGGAGCAATAGTTAAGAATATATCATTCACTGACATCTGGTCATTTCCATATAAAAATTAGGAGAAAGAATGATTAAATAATGAAACACTGACCAACAAAATCAAATTCCTATATTCACTATATATTTTTATTTTAAAATTTATTCTTTTTTAGAAATCATTCCGAACTCTTAACAATAATTTGTTGTAAAACATAATTCAATACAATTAAGAATTCTCAAGAAAACAAACAGAAAATAACAAAAGTAAATTACTTTCTATCTCAAATATCAACACACTGAGTATGGCGGCAAAGTTTTAGATGATATTGTAGGTGACAAAAGCAAAATGGAAATTCAAAGAGAAAAAATCTAAATAACTGTGATCCTATATCAGGAAATTACAAGATGAAAATGCAGGAAAATTTTAGAATGTACAGAAATAAAATACCAAAGAATTTGCTGTGATAATAAATACGACATCAGGTAATAATTCAGGTAAAGGTAGGTAAAACCTAGTTCCGGTATATGAGGCATATCTAAAAAATCCAAAGAGGCGAAAATTGTGAATTCATGAGGCGGTCAATGCGCAATTTTGAACTGTCGTTTAGCTCACTACCGATACATATGACAATACTAAAACAACCTCACCACACGGTATCAGTGTCGTGAAAAGTTTTGAATTGAGTTGATTTGTTCATGTTGGTTTATCGATTGATTAGCTAAATTATTGGTCTGCTGATAACTTTGTGTAATGATTTATTTGGTCAAAGAGGTTATAATGATTTAGATGAGAATAAGGCGAGAATTTAAGCCAACAATAGTTAACAACCATGATCGTTGTGAAAATCTTGGATGTTTAAATTCTTAAACAGAATGTGATTAATGGGCGTGTCATGATATAAGCAGATTAGTTACAAAGATAGCTATAGGAAAGAATATGTTTTTAAGAGAGAAATATTAAGGATACGTCAGCGGATGTTAAGATTAATCATTTGATTAGCATACATTTGGGGATGAGAAGGAATATTTGAGATGAACAGTTAGATATGGAATAGTTTTTGTGATGAGAATTCGCTAATTACATGAAGCGTTGTAAAGCCTCATTACAGATGGTGAATTATTAGGAAATTCTTTCAAATTAAAATCGTTTGATTATATAATTTTTAGAAAGAAATATAATACAGTTACGAATTAACTCCGACCTTCCCGACAATCGGTTTCTTTCCGTTCCACCACTCTAATACCTGTATCCTATAGGAGCACAATATTTTATATGTCCGGTTTCTATAACAGCACAATATCTTCTTACCTTTTCACTCTTCTCTCATAGTGCAATATTCTTTCTTCTCTTTACTGGTCTCTCTGATCTCTCATTATTCATTATATTTTCCACTCCTTAACTGTCACAATCATGTTTGCAGTTATCATTAACTTCGATTTGGGAAGAGAGAAGCATACTAGGTAATCGAATTTCTAAATTTCTTTCCTAGTGCATACAGTAATTTCTGTAATGTGCTCATTTCAGGTGTCACCACAATAAGTCATATAATGGGCGAGGAAAATTTACTTTACTGTTACAATAAAGGATGCGGTACAAAATTCAATCCTAGCGAAAACAATAATGGTAAGCACTTTATCGCTGCTTTCTTTTGATTCTATTATCGTTTTTATGATCATTCTTTGAACTTTAGCAGTTTAAATTATTAACACTCAGTTCCGTGGAACAAAAATAAACGTCTTGCATTACATCTCACGTTATTTATTCAATTCATATTACTCAACAGCCAACTTATTTCCACCATGTTCTCAGTTTCGTTTTTTAACTATCAGTTTTGTTAAATCTAAATACTTCCCTTTTGATCAAATGTGGAAAACCAGTACTAATGGAAATATTCGTAATAAAATGCAAATCCTTTTCAGATTCATGTTTGTATCATCCTGGCGCACCATACTTCCATGATGCTTATAAAATCTGGAGTTGCTGCAATCAGAAAAGTACAGATTTCAGTACATGGTTAAGTCTAAAAGGCTGCACTCGTGGACAGCACAGTAATCAGAAATCGGTAATGGAAACAAAATCCGAAAAATCAGAGACAAAAATTAAATCACAAGCACCGGAAGAGGTTTGTTTATTCGGCATATTATTGTTCGACAGAAAACTTCTTGGACTACAGATTCGCAAAGCATTTTTAATCATAGTTTCACTATAATTTTGAGAATATTTATACATAAGTGGGCATAAAGATGAAACAAGCTTATATACATACATAGGAGCTCGAAACCCTATATGGATCACAGATGAAGAAGAGTAACAATTTTACAAAATAAAATTCGAATTAATAGCTTTCTGGATTGTGCAATGCCGGGAGCATCGGAAAAACACTTAGCAAGAAATTCTGGGTTTGCTTAGAAATGCAATATTTTTGCAGCTGCAGAGAAAAATATTAGTCTAGAGAAGACTTTTACCATTGTCATTTTTTTAACTTTATTCTTTTCAAGTTTTTCGGACTGTTAAAAAATAGCGTTGGAAGTCCATATATGTAGATCGCTTGTTTATAGTATACTTTATTTCAGGTGATCGTTTGGAATGGTTTAAATAAACCTGCAGCTAGACATGATTCTTTGGAAATAATGAGGGCGATAAAGTTTGAAGTAACTGACGGCGCCTTAAGAGCCATTGAAAAATTCCAATCAGAAGTAAAGGAAAAGATTGAAGCAGATATTCATGTCGGTGCGTCATGTAAAAATCCTGGTTGCGAAAAGGTTTGTTTGATAAATGACTGTCAAAATGGATGTGTTCTCCTTATCCTCTTTCTTATTGTATTTTTTGAAAAAATAAATGTCACTTTGGCATTAGAAACTTAACTTTTTGTTCTCCATGGGAATTTTTAAGCAAATGCAACTGAGAAAAATTTATTCAATTCATAAATCTTTTTTACTTGTCATGATATAGTAAACAAAATTAAGATGAATTTTTAGGTTTATGAAAACGAAGAAAGCATGAATGAACAGTGTGTGTATCACAATGGTGTAGCTGTATTTCACGAAGGAATGAAGTATTGGTCATGCTGTGAGAAGAAGACTTCCGATTTCAGTGTATTTCTCGAGCAGAAGGGCTGTACGGTAGGGAAACACTGCTGGACAAAGGTGAAAGTTCTTGAAGTTCTTTATTAGACATTCCAATCGGAATTCGAGAAATATATAAGTTCATCTTTTTTTCATCTTGAAATCGTGATCTAAAACATATCATGTATTTTTTCACTCAACGGCTTATCGAAGCTTATATAATTTACATATTCAGACAGAGCGAGTTGACAAAATTCGTGAGGATTGGTTTAGTGGAGGCGGCTTCATTCATTTAAATGTTTACTGTAAGGGAGCTGTACCGGAATCGTGCAAGGTGGAGTGCAATGGTCTTATATTGCAAATAAAAGTCGTACATGGTTTCGGTGCAAAAGAAACACAGCTGAATTATGAACTTTTCGGTAGGATCAACGTAGATGCATCGAAGGTGACTTTTGTTACCCATTTTTTTCTCTCTTTTTAGTGTTTGATGATTATTTAAGCTTTTATTTTTATTTGATTAGCTTTGTTTTAAAAACTCACTTTTTGTGAAGGAATCAGTGGGCGTTATCAATGTCTTTGCAGGTAGTAATTGGTGAGAGAAAATTGGAATTAATATTAAAACAAGATGATGTAGCAAGCTGGCCACGGTTAACGTATGATCCAAAAAGCGTTGAAGCCTAATTTAATATATTAATTCCTTTGTTTTTGTTTTTTAATAGATTGAAAGTATTATTGCAACACGAAGAGCTAGAAAAGTGATTGTTTTGATGATGTCATGACCCATCATTTCTGTGATGCGAGGTGAGATCCGAACTATAGCTACCACGTACATTCCCATGTCATTATTAATTGTTACTTCCTGTTTTAGTTTCATAGCTTCAGTGCTCAGTTTCTAGATTATTTGAAGAATTTACGGTGCAGAGCAAATTTTCGGCAAGTGATTAAGAACAAAAAAATCCTTAATTTGTTAGAAAGGTTTTTATTAAACGAAGTTTGAGAAAAAGATTTTGTTTTTTTCTTTTTTTTGTTAAAATATTGAGAAAATTGTCATTTCTTTGATATGTGTAACATTAATGCTTGCTTATGATGAAAATATTGTTCGAAGACTAATACATTTTTGTTTGCTGTAAAGTGTTGTTAATAATCTCCTGAAACTACTTTTCATGGATTATTTTGGCTGATTTAATTCCGCTTTTCCCTCTTTTTCGAGGTAAACAATTTTATGGCTGAATGTTTTGTTTGACTTTATAGAGTGAATGAAGAATCAGCTGAACAGTATAGGATTGTTTCATTCTGTGGAAGCAATTTATACAGGTGGAGCAATCCAGTGGAGTTTGGATGGGAAAACATTGTTTTCGGCTTGTGGTAGCTATATCAGGGCGTCGAATATTGATGATGGAAGAGAGAGGTGATTGAGCACATAATTTTTTATTTTATTAGAAACTTGGTTTAAAGTTCAATTGTAAATAATGGAAAATATAAGTATATAACATGTTTAAATACGTTGTCGATGATTGGAAAGATAATGAATGGTGGGAAAAAATCAGTTAACGAGTCAATGCAAATAATAGGTGTGCGCCGTAGTGCAGGGAAAGATTTACTGAATTTTTTATTCAACTCAGTTTAATCTGGACCGATTGTAAGGTAGCACTTTATATCATCATATGTGGAGGAGGAGGATTTTATTGTTTTCTTGCAGTTATAAGGTTGGGAACGAAGAGAATCAATTAAGAATATCAACTTTCTTGTTGAACGAGGATTGTAATTCCATCGTAGTGGCTTATACGAATGGTCTTTTACAAAGCTATCGATTACCATTACTAGAAAATGGTTCTAAAGTAGTAGATCCTGAAATAGTTCGTCAATGGAAGTCAACGCATGCAGCGCCAGTTTTAATCATGAAATTTTCCAGAAGTGACACATTACTTGCTACTGGATCAGCGGATTTTCTTGTGAAGGTTTGAATTTCCAAAAATTTCTTGTGAAAGTTTGAATTTTCAAAAAAAAATTTTTTTGTGAAGGTTTGAAAAAAAGTTAATATAATATTCTTTAACATAATGTGTTAAAGAATATTGTATTAACTACATCCTGATAGATGTTCCGGAATTAATTGGTGTTGATAATCAATAGATGGGGCACTGTTTGAAAAATTTTAATCAATTTTCTAGATTTGGAATCTCGAGGAGCGGAGTTGTGTTGGCTCATTAAAAGGTACAAGCGGTGTAAGTGCTGTCGAATTTCTTCATAAATCCCGTGTAATAGTTGGCTATACTGATGGCAGCTCATCATTATTTTGTTTAGAAAGCCCAAAGAAACTAATTTTTCGATGGACTAATCACACAAGGTTAGCTAGATATAAACGTAATGTTCACGGGATTTTTTTAGCTTTTTTATATTGGTTTAGTAATATTTAGAAACGAAAGAATTTCTAAAATTTTATATAGCCTTGTTTTCTAATATTCGTTTTTATGGTATTTTAGCCAGATTGTAAGCATAGTTATTCGGCAACTTCCGGAAGTTGTTTTTGTGAGTCGTGATCAGACTTTGTCAGTCGTTAACGTGGATAGCTATGAAAAAATAAAAGTACTTCCGTTATATGAACCAATCGAAGCAGCAGTTTTTGTGTCTGGATCGTTGTTCACAGTAGGAGAGGAAGGTGTTTTGAAGTGTTGGAATATGGAAAATGCAAAATTATTAAAATCTGCAAGTATATATAGGTTAGTATGTTTTAATTTTTGGTGTCACGACTGAACTTGAATTAGTATTTGCTACATAATCCATCATATTATGGGAAATTTTTGTTGTCCTTGTTCTATTCTTTATGGTTTTTTGTTTTGAATATAAAAAATTCAGCGCAGAATAATTTTGTCAGATCAGTTCTTACTTACTATATCCAGTTTTTTACCGTATTGTTTTACCCAATTTTATCAACTTCTTGTCTCTGGCCGTGGTTTCAGCAAGGTTTCGTTTTAAATAAATTTCAGGTCTCGCATTAATTCTATTATTTACAACCAAGTTTGTAATAAATTCCTGTTGGCTACCTCAGATTTCAACGTTTTCTGGGTTGATAAAGAAACTTTCAAAATTGTGCGGCAGTTTGCTGGTTTTAATGATGAAATTTTTGATGTTTGTTTTTTCGGACCAAAACTGGACTATTTGATTGCAGCTACAAACAGTTCTGAATTGCGTTTGTATAATACAAATACTTGGTCTTGTCATCTTATTACTGGTATGTTTGTGCAGCATTGTACACTTCGTAGCCTATTTAATATGAGCTCTTCCCATTCACTTTTTAAAAGGAATTATTTTTCTTAAATACTTTTGCATATCATACTACTGCGAAGTTTGGTTTTGTGAATTTGTTTAACAATTCTTTTTTTTAGCAGTATTTCTAAATCGTTACTGTCTATAAAAAAAGTATGTTAGATGTCGATATGCATAACAGCAGAACAATGCATGAAATAAAGTTTACCATATTCCATAGAAAATAAAATTTGTGCAGCAGTGTATCCATCTAATTAAATGTAGCAAGTAATTTCATGTATTCATTTAATTTATGAAATTGCAGGTCATACTGACAGTGTGCTGTCACTCTCAACTGCGCCATGGGATCCAAAGCTTTTTGCAAGTTCTTCCAAAGACAATACTTTTATTCTTTGGCATGTAGACTTGGACGACGATGAAGAAATTAAGGCGAAAAAGGTAATTCATGAATTTGGAGTTATTTTTATTCCTTCATTTACTTCTGTCAATGTGTATTTAATTTTTAGATAGGCTTAGCTACTGGACATACTAATAATGTCACGCGTGTTCGATATTCCAACAGTTCCAAGCATCGTTTCATTGTTTCAGTATCGAATGATTCTACTATCAAATTATGGCCATTAAAAAATCTCAAGCAAAAAACTGAAGAGTAAGTATTATCGTTATTTGTTTAATTTTTGGATCTTAACGTTAAACAGCATTACATATTATTAATGCGGTCGGAGATGGGGTGTCATTCTCTTTCAACATATTTTTCCCATTAAATCCAAAAATCTTTACAAGAACGTAATTAATTAGAATTTTTGGAGTTGTTTTACCTAATTTTTTTTGCTTTTAAAGGCCTTAAATGAGCTTTTTTCCAATATTTTCCAATATGTGAGCTGTTTTCAGCTTGAAGTTGCAGTCGTCAGCAACATTAGTAGCACACGCAAAGGACATAACTTGCTTAGATATTAGTTTGAATGATCGTCTGTGTGTTACCGGTTCTATGGACAAAACAGCGAAATTGTGGCACATTGAAACTGATAAAATGCATTTTACCATAGGTGGCATGCTGAATGGTCATCGCCGTGGAGTTTGGGATGCTCGTTTCTCGCCGAGCACTCAGGTTGTATTTTTCACTCAGTACTGTATTCGAATTTTTGTCATTGTATTATTGTGTATTAGCGGTAACAAAAGTTAGAGAGCGATTTCAAAAAATTTGTTTTTGGATTTGAGACGAGGCTCAAAAAATAGTTTCGTAAAATGTTTATTCATTAATGTATTCAGGCTGTGATAACATGTAGTGGTGATTGCATGATCAGGATATTTTCGCTGCCAAGTCGAGATTGCATTGCCACATTAGCTGGACATGCGTCTGCAGTATTGAATGTAATTCCTTTTTCATATTTTTTCTTCAAATGGTAAATTTTTTCAGATCTTTTTTACTGACAACAATTTACTTTAGAGTTTCACCTTTTGCTTTATCATTTTTCAGGGAGTCATAATAAATAATGGAAAGCAAATAATATCTGCGGATAGTGGTGGTTTACTTAAAATATGGGATATTGCGGCCAATGAATGCATCACAACAGTGGAAGCTCATGATGAGAAAATATGGACTTTGCAAGTAGCTAATGATGAAAGCCGACTTGTTACGGGTATTTCTCTAAAATTTTAACACATTTTCATGTCCTCTTACTCATCCATTCCTCGCTCTGAAAAATGTTCTTAATCACTGGATTATTTTGCTAGATTTGATTGATTTCTTGAACTTTCTAGTAAATCAATCGCACTTTTTTTAGAAAAATTACATCAATCAGAAATTTTATTTTAGCAAGTAGTGATGGGCGAATAAGAATTTGGGAAGATATTTCTGAAAAAAAACGCGAAGAGGAAGAACATAGTCGAGCAGAAAAAGCACACAATGAGCAAATTCTGGCAAATCTTATGCAACAGAATCATTACGACGAGGCTTTAGCGTTTTCACTGACACTGGCTAGACCGTACAGGTATTCAGAATTTAGAATCTCCACAAACAAGCTATTTAAAGTGAATCAGCAAAAACACTGTGCTGTGCTCTATTCTGTTAATTTCAACTGAAGGGCAGATTTCGTATTTTGTAGGAGTCTTGCAAAAGAAGATAATTAATTTTGCTCTGGTGTGAAACGATGTTTTCACTTAAGTACGGAATATCTTTAAGATCCACTTTTCTCTTATGATACAAATTTGTTTTCGAAGAATTTTGTTTTATTCCTTTTGATAAGTTTTAGTAAGTTTCAAGAGACAAGCTCGAGAAAATTCGCTATTTCAAAATTACGTTTCAAGCATAGATTGATGAATATCGGATTATTTTACTTGCAGAACGCCGTAATCGTATTATACCAATGGAATATGTGCTTTCCAGTTTTATGATTTTTTTATTTTTTGCAGTTGCTTGAAAATAGTGCAAGGAATGATGGAGCTAAAATTAGATGAATTGCATAATGCGATCAAAAAATTGCGAGGAGAAGAGTTAGTGATACTGTTGGACTTTGCCGCCCAGTGGAATACAAACAGTCGAACAGCAGATGTGAGTATTTTACCATCTTGAGTTTCATAGTTATTGTTCAGTTTTTCTTTATTATTTCATTCATTTTCTTTTTTGATGGTATTATCATTTTGATGATTTCAGTTGAAGAAATAATTCTGTACATAAAAATGTTGACAAAAAATGGCATAAGATAACAAGTTTTTTTTTTTTAAAATAACATTTCTTTTTATATATGAATTGAAGTGACTATTAAAATCACCGTTTGGTAGATCTACGAACAAAACAATATTATATTATGCATTTATAAATTTAAAATAAGTAAAAAACTCGAAAAACACTTGGAAATCTTAATGTTTGCTTCTAGGTTGCTCAATTAGTGCTCTATTGCATTTTGCATTCGTTCTCTCCCGAGGAATTATTAAAAATGCCTAACTTTGCTTCAGTGATAGAAGCATTCATTCCATATACAGTCAGGTATATTATCTAATTTTATTCCAGATCATACTTATAAAAATTTTGGGGAATTTGAATGACAAATATTTTTAATTTTACTTTAGGAGACAAATTTGTAGGCACTTTGATCGGTTAACAAGAGCTCGACAAAATGCCGCATTTCTGAACTACACTCTAGCGCAAATGACGCTTTCGAATTTGTAACAGAATGTAACAAGTATTTGTTTGAACATGCAATGCAGCTGTGATAGCATGTTATTGTTGTTATTGATTTGTTGGAAACACTGAACTGTTGTTCATTTTCAATAAAATTTCATTGCGTAAATTATTGTTTGGTGTTATTATGTGTCGTTTAGTACGGTTATTATTATATTTTTATCTGATTTCATCCACGTCATTTTTAAATTCTGTAGGGGAATATAGGCTTCATACCGTTTTTATTTCAAGTTGGTTATGGAAGGAACGGCCGTTGAAACCGACTTACCAATAGAAGAAGTCAAAGATGATGAAATACCGGACTTAGTAGAAACAATTCCTGTAGGTTTTGCCACTTTACTTGACCAGGGGCAAAACGGAAACATTTCATCGATGGAAGGACAATTTAGCATGGTGAGCTTGCTTTATTGATGAATTTGAATTAATGCTTTCAAGTTTTCATAATTCAGTTAATATGCCCTGGTGTTCGGTAAGATTTTTCAAATAAATTAAAAGACATTTTATGTCGTTTCATTTTCTCTTTTTGGGAAATTTAAAATAGTTTAACAACTTGTCTGAAGATTTTCAGAAAATGTATACTTTGTGTATCTTTTGATTTGTTTTTTATAAACAAAGTATGGTGATTTAGTTTAATATTTGTAGATAATTTGAAGGAATATTTCAATAGATATATTATTAGAAAAATTTATTAAAATATGCTACTGTTAGACTGTGTTGTAAAATTTAGAATTTAGACAGTTATTAATAGTCTTAAATAAGAGCAACATAATATAACATGAATGTGAAAAGGATGGTCCCTGTTGCACTGTGAAAGAGTGAGCACCCACTTTGAAGTGTTCACTTTTTCATTTTTTACCAAAGTGCACTTTCCGCAACACAGCACAAAGTGTTATGGCGATACACGCAACTGTTGCGTTTTATCGCCAACAATCGCATAAAAATGCGTTGGTTAAATTTTATTGCTTTTGGTATATTTTTGCAATTGGTTCTACAAAAAAAAAAAGAACGTAGGGAAGGAAGACCTACCGCATTGAAACATTAGACACAAACTCTAATGGCACTCATATATAATATTCCTTTCTTTCATTTCTTTCTCTTTTTCTCTTTCTTTCTATATGTGGATCTTCAATACAGGCGGATAGATAGCAAAAATGCCATTAAAATTTTTTTTTAATCAAATGGTCGGTAGCTTTTGACTGTGTGTTCTTTGTTTAATATCTATGTATGTATATTTCTATCTATACGTTGTGTTCTGTAGCATTGAAAAGAAAAAAAAAACAAAGGTGAGATCTTTGGTTAATGACTGCATACAACGAGTAAATAATGCTGATAATAAATTAAGATTGCTATAGAGGAAAAAAGAGGTGAGATCAAAGAAGTGAGATAGTAAAATGGATGCGATTTAATTTCGATCTTTCATAATTAGCTGGTTTCAATAAATTTCATTCTTTCTGATTAGCTAATAAATTATTAATTCATCTTTCTTTAATTTACATTGGAAATAATCGGACCTCAGAATAATATCTTCTCATCATCATTGTTTGCTTGCTTATTTCCATTGACCATCACTATTAAAAAAAACATTATCAATCAGTCGATTACAAGAACGAATTTATATTCGTCCTTGTAGACCGACTGATTGATAATGTCATTTTTCCAACAGTGAATCAAGTTTTTGAAGTTTGAAAAATCTGTTCCCAGATAGCATTAATTCAGACTATCAAATTTCTTTCTTCTGTTTTCCTTTTTCTTTATTATGAGTGCTATGAAATTTCCCTTGTTTCATATACAAAATTCCCCTAACATCCATCGATCACTATTTGACATCGCTAATTTTTGCACATACGGAATAGTGATTAAATGACGGATTATGCATAATGAGAAATAGGTGGATCAATTTTAGCATTCATTAAAAATTTCAGACTATCTTATTGTTCTAGATTAATTCACTATAAAAGAAATCAAGAAAAAAAAGATATGATTTTCGAAATTTGGTTTTGTAAAAGTTACATCCATAATTTATATAAGCCTGGTAGATTTTGCGATTATTTCTTTCATTGTTCCTCTTCAGGTACAAAAAAGGAAAAGAAATTACCATGATGTTGGAATGGTATCAGAAGAACTTGAAAATAATGTTACAGAGCAAAAACATCGCAAGAAACATAGGAGTGTAACAAATGCAGAAGTACGTAAAGTTCCAGTACCGCCACATCGTTACTCACCACTGAAAGAGCACTGGGCAAAAATTGTTTTACCAGTCGTCAAGCAGTTGCATCTGCAAATAAGGTACTTCTATGTCTTTGCAATTTTTTTTTCCTTAACTTTGAATTTATTGAATAAATTTTTTTTCCTATAGTAATATAAAAATTTCTCATTTTGTGTCCTAATCGTAAAACTTTTCCATATTACGCACATTGCCTAAAAAAGTTTCATATCTCTTATTCTTCTAGCATGATAGCGGTTATTTTCTGAAATTTTCCTTTTAATCTTTGTTGCATGGATAATATTTGACATTATTGAAATTTTAAATCGCAATTGTATTTCATTTTTTGACCGAAAAATACAATTTTTTGCAGGTTTAATCTGAAATCGCGAAATATCGAAATTCGTACATCCAATGAGACTGATGATCTTACACATTTACAAAAGATTGGTTGATTTTTTGTTTGAGAATATGTTGTGTCGAGTAGAAAAGTTCCTTTCTTGCGAAACGTGATTTCATATACTTATATTTTCAGGCTGAGGATTTCGTCCGTGCTTTCGTTCTGGGTTTCGATGTTGATGATGCGTTGGCACTAATTAGACTGGATCATTTATTCTTAGAAAGTTTTGAAATTAATGATGTTAAGCCACTGAAGGGAGAGCACTTGTCACGCGCTATCGGACGAATTGCTGGAAAAGATGGGCGAACTAAATTTACGATTGAAAACATAACTAAGGTTGTAGCAATTTTAATAAGATATATAAGCTGGGTATTGATTTTGATATCTCATTGGGAGTTCATTAGCTTAATCTCAACATTTTCGTTATGCAACTTAAATGAAATTATGTTACAGACTCGTATTGTGCTTGCAAACAGCAAAATTCATCTGCTTGGTGCTTATCAAAATATCCGGATAGCCAGGAATGCAATTTCTTCTTTGATCATGGGTATTTTTTTTTTCAAAACTGAAAAATATTTAAGGTGCTAAGTTTCATTTCCCATTCTGTTATGATAGAAACTGGCAAGATATTCAGGGAAAAGAGGTGAAGAAGCTTTATTAAATCATTAAAATGTTAAAAAGGTTTTTTGATTCATCTTGGTCTGCAAACTTTGAAGTAAATATTAAAGTACGTATTATTATGTTTTAGGTAGTCCACCATCAAAAGTATATGGTAATTTACGAAATCTTGCAAGTCGGGCAAGTGAACGCCTGTGATTTCTCTATTACCTATCTCTATTAATCTGTTCTGTTACTTTTTCATTTGTCATATAAAAGTTTATTGAATTAAATTGGTTAAAAAAAATTAAGAAACTGAGTTTCTGGATTCTGAAGTGCTAAACAGGGAATGATATCATCAAAAAAGAATCAGTGATAAAACAAACGATTAATATTATTGACGCTAGAGTACGTCAGGCGAAATAGCATGGAATTAACCTTTACCAGTTTTACATTTGTGCACTTACAATCTCAAGCGAGATGCCCGATGCTTTGTTTTATAAAATAAAAATCAATGAAATCAAGAACTAATGCTTAAAATTTTACTAATTGTGGAAAGCATTAGGCAACTTGCTTTGTTTAATGGCCTGAGATGAGGCCAGTTCGACCCGATTTCTTATTGAAAAAGCAATTCAATGAAAGAAGAAACAAGCTAATGGATTTATTGATGTTAGGAAATTTATTAAGTTTTAATCTCGAATGAGAGAAATTCCGTTGCCTATCCTTCTTTCATAGTTAAAAGAAGCCACAAGTAAAACGAGCAAATTAGATCTGTTCAATAAAATGAACTGGCCAAAGAATACTGAAGCAAAGGATGTGATAAGGTCAAAGAACTATTAGGGAAGAATCAATTATATTTATGTGTGTAATATATGCTTGGCATAAATTACATATGCTAATACTAATTTTCATACTGATATAGTGATGGTTTAGCTGTTTAGATGTAATAATAGTAATACAATGAGAATAAGAAGAGTTCTCCTTTTTTAAGGTGCTGATAGGAACGGTAATGTTGGCGCATACGGTAACATTGGAGTAAACTGAAACGGTATTGGATTCATCATATGATGATAATTTAGTGACATGAAGCGTAAATCGATATTATCCATTGGTGAAATAAACCTGAAAAATGCAAAGAGTTAGTGACAGTCTGATATTTGTTTACATCTAACAACAATGATTTCTTTGATTACTGATTACCGACTACGGAATCTGTATATTCAGTACTAAAATTGAAGTGGACAAGATATAGAAATGTTTTAGTGGCAGCATATAATAGTGAATCTTACTCTATATAGGTCAGTAGATCTAAAATTCAGGGTAGGAGCAGCATTGTGGCTAATTAGAGACTGATGATGAAACAAAAAGGAAAGGCTATAAATCTTTTATAAAGTGTCATATGGTTCGGTTACTTTTTAAATAATGTCATGATGACAGAATTTTTTTTTCCAATTACGTAATCAACATATTGCTTCGGTTCAACTGGAAGATTTTTTGCAATTTTATGCTTTTTGATTTATTTAACAGACAAGCTTAGATAGCTCAACTATCTTAATTACACTTACATCTTCGTCATTTATGTTGCTTTTTACTTAAAAGAAGTTAATGAATTTTGACATTTCATTCTTATCGTCGAATGATAAACCATCTTCCCTCTTCTTTGTGTACTTTTTTTTAATTGTTGCAAGTTTAAAAATTCCACACTTACATTGGTGATGTCGGTAATATCGCAGTTGGCTGAAAGATTATTGGGACCGGTGCTCTGGGTTCCATAATTTGTGGTTTTGGGAATACTGGTAGAAGCGGTGGTACACGTACCGGTTCCTCTATTTTTCTATTATTATCTGGTACAGTAGTAAATCGCTCTAAGATAATTATTGGTAAATTTAAAATATATTAATTAAACTTGATATTTAAGCTTTAAATTGATAATATATCGCATTATTTGAAAACTCTGATTGCAATCATTCTATTTTTGATCTTTCTCTTTAATGATAAATAATTAAAACCTCGTTCAGTTTCCAAATTCGATTGCTCTATGATTAAATTGTTTGTAGCAATGTTTGTTGCTGTTGTTGTTGTTGTTGTTGTTGTTGTTGTTGTTGTTGTTGTTGTTGTTGTTGTTATTGTGGTTGAAAGCGTTGCAGCAGCTGCAGCAGCAGCATTAAGCTGAGCTTTCCGCTGCTTCTGTTGATCTCGTCGTAGTTTTATTTGACGAGCCATTAGTGTTCGACGATTTTCAACCAAACCACACTAAAAAGCACTTTTCAGCTTCATCATCTTTTTACACCTTTCAAATCCATATGCTAAACAGTAAATAATTCTGAATTTAAAAAAAAAATATGTATAGAATTTTGTCGATTTCATATCTCATTTTTGATTTTTAATCACTGCATCTTCTAATCACAATACACATTTTATAAAAAATTTAAAATTTCTCTCATTTTATTTTTTGCTAATTTCAAATATGTTTCCATTTTTAATTTAAATTTATGAAATAAAACATTTGAAACCAAATGTTATGATTTGTTGTTGTTGTTGTTGTTGTTATTATCATTATTGTTGTTTGAATTCCAATATAAAAGATTGTATTGAATTAGCTGCTTGACAAACAATATAATCCTTTTCTCCCTTATTTGTTTCATCGAGCAAAAGATAAAATGAATGATAAAGATGGATGAATTGAAAAGACGAACCAGATGACATCCACATTTCAAAAATGGACACTGCGCTTTTTTGTGTCCTCTCAGCGGTTGTTTATTGCCATGTGCAGAACACAATGCGCATTTCGGATCGCGTATTTTTTTACCCGTTGTTGAACGATTTGCTGCATGATTGGGATCCAATCGTCTTAAACTTAACATATTATTCAGTCGTCGTCGCTCCTCCACCATATGAC